GCCCAGGGATCACAGTAGAGAACGTCTCTCCCAATCTGGTGTACCTAGGTTCCTGCTTTCAAGCTGCTGTCTGTATTCTCCATGACTACGCTTGGCTGACTACCTTGTTCTTTGAATATTTTTGCGGCTGCTTCTGCAGGAAACCCAAGGGGAGGAGCTGGGAGATAGTCGGTTACCCCAGGTCAAAACCTCACAGTTGTGCCCAGGGATCACAGTAGAGAACGTCTCTCCCAATCTGGTGTACCTAGGTTCCTGCTTTCAAGCTGCTGTCTGTATTCTCCATGACTACGCTTGGCTGACTACCTTGTTCTTTGAATATTTTTGCGGCTGCTTCTGCAGGAAACCCAAGGGGAGGAGCTGGGAGATAGTCGGTTACCCCAGGTCAAAACCTCACAGTTGTGGGAGGGTATCCGTGATGTTTACCATCTCCAGATCGCTGTGAAGCCACTCAGTTCATGCTTAGCCGCCTGGCCTAAGACACTCCTCAGCTGGGGTGTTCTGCCTTACTTCATTGCTCTTGTATCTCACCTTTTACTGGAGGCAGAACTGAGACGTTCTTAAGCTCATGTTTGAGTCAAGAGCGCAAAACTGCTATTTAATAGCACCTGACTGCCACAGCGTTCAGCCTAAACTCCCCTCTCTGTCGAGACGCGCACGCCCTCCCTTCCCAGCCACTCCCTTCAGTTGAGGTATTTTGTAGATTACATTCCTGCAACCACAGCGCAGAAGTTCTTATGCCTCGTTAAAGTTAGCAGACGCACGCTGATGGAGGTGCTTGTCTGGTGATGCTTCGCAGATAAGACTTCCTGAGCTCACTGTCTAGGCTCAGTATCACACAGGCGGAGCAAGTCATTGCAGCGTGCAAGGCGGTAAAATTAGAAGCGGTGTGTCTGGTGTCTGCTGCTGCTTCCCACTTGCACAAGGCAGGCGGGGGTGCTGCTTCCACAAGAGCTGCCTTCCTCCACCAAGGGATGAGTTTTCGGTCGGCGCTCAGCAAAACGCCAAAGGCGTCGGTCTGAAAGCTGCGTCCTCCAGAGACCGAAGCCTCGTCGAGGGCTGAGTTTGCTTCACCTGCGGGCAGCGTTTGTGCGACTCTGACTTCTCCATTCAGAGGTCTGTATTTCTCCTTCTGGAAGCGCTTGCGCCGGTGCAGCGCACCGTATCGCCTTGCGTCCATCCCGAAGCACGCTGTGGTGTGTGCAGCATGCTGGGCATCTCCCTGGAGAGAAGG